TAAAGGATCCGCAAGATCCTAATAGTGACATCATCACCTACCGATTTGCTTCAGTACTATTCGGAGCCACGTCATCACCATTTTTACTCCAAGCTACCTTGGATACACATTTTAAAAAATCTAAGAGTTCCTATAAGGCTGAAATTAGTAACAACCTGTACGTGGACAACTTCCAGGAAACAACTAATAATGAAAATAAATTGGTAGAAATTTACCATGAGGCTAATCGTTAATTGCTAGGAGCCAATATGCCATTACAGTCGTGGGCTTCTAATAACCAACAATTAAACCAGATAATCGAGAAAGAATTTCCCGACTATCAGGTACCTAGTAAATTAAAGGTTCTAGGCATGGAATGGAATACATCTACTGACGAGTTGAATGTCAAGTCAGTGGAAACTAACAAATCACCTCTAACCATGAGAAAGTTACTCTCATATATCAGTCAACCATTTGACCCTTTGGGCTTGCTTAGTCCTATTTTAATTACGGGTAAACTCCTCAGGCAGGAGCGCTGGCAGAAAAATATGGGTTGGGATGATCCGTTACCAATTGAGCTGCAAGACAAATGGCAGATATTAACTAAGGATTTCAATAAACTAAGTGTTCTGAAATTTCCACGTAACGCCTTAGGACAGAACTTAGCCACCGATTTACATGTGTTGTGTGATGCCTCAGGCAAAGCGTATGGTGCAGCAGCCTATTAGTTAACACACAACAATCCTTTCTACTTACTTCAAAGGCAAGAGTGGCTCCAATTAAAAAGAGGTCCTTACCTCAAATGGAGTTAACTGCCTTACTAGTAGGAGTAAGGTTAGTTCATTGCCTGACCAAGACACTCAGTAATATTAACTTTGGTGAGATAGTAATGTGGTCAGACAATGAGGCAATCTTACATTGGGTAAGAAATAATATCAACAAGACTCCCTACGTTAGTAACCGAGTTAAGGAAATACATGAACTATCTGCTGGATATAAATTGCAACATGTCCCGGCTAAGGACAATCCAGCCGATTACCTATCAAGAGGTTTAACATTAAAACTGTTAGTTAAAGCTCAGATGTGGGTTAATGAACCGCCATGGCTGATTAGTGGTCAGTGGCCTAAACAAAAGCCACAAGCCATAGTGACCAACATCACTACATCCACGGTGGAACTAGAGTCTCCTCGGTCTTTGGCTGTCAATCCTCATCGTTACTCTAGTTTAGGTAAGTTACTGAGAGTAACAGAAATCGTATTTGACTTTCTCAACAAGATAGGAATCAAACATCGATTTCCCAGTCCTATCAAATACTGGATAATACGAGCTCAACAAGAGACTTATAGGAGTGAATATGAGAATCTTCCAGATAAGCTGACTAAGTTTCTGGGCATTTGGTATGATTTAAATAACCACAATATATTAAGGTGTGGAATACGTCTGCATCATGCAGAGATTCATTTGGAAACAAAAAATCCTATACTTTTACCACATCATAACTAAACTTATAATTTTACCTCACCATCAATATGACAATTTACATGATGGAGTGTTAGACACTCTCACTGATATTACACCACCCAGGAACCACGGACACCATAACCCAGGAACCACGAACACCACCACCCAGGAACCACGGACACCACCACCCAAGAACGACGGATACCACCACCCAGGAACCATGGACAGAACCACCCAGGAACCACAGACACCACCACCAAGGAACCGTGGACACCACCACTCAGGAACCACGGACACCACCACCCACGAGCCACAGACACGACCACCAATGAACCATGGACACCACCACCAAGGACCCACAGACACCACCTCCCAGGAACCACTGAACCACCACCAAAGAACCACGGACACCACCACCCAGGAACCACGGACACCACCACCCAGGAACCAAGGAAAGCATCACCCAGGAACCTCGGACACCACCACCAAAGAACCACGGACACCACTACCCAAAAACAACTGACCGCCACCCAGGAACCACGGACACCATCACCCAGAAACCACGGACACCACCACCCAGGAACCACGGACACCACCACTAAGGAACCACGGACACCACCACCCAAGAACAACAGACCGCCACCCAGGAACCACAGACACCACCACCAAGGAACCACGGACACTACACTCAGGAACCACGGACACCACCACCCAGGAACCACAGACACCACCACCAAGGAACCACGGACACTACACTCAGGAACCACGGACACCACCACCAAGGAACCACAGACACCACCACCCAGGAACCACAGACACCACCACCAAGGAACCACGGACACCACCACCAAAGAACCATGGACACCACCACCCAGGAACCAGGGACACTACACCCAGGAACCACGGACACTACACCCATGGACACCGCCACCCAGGAACCACGGACACCGACACCCAGGAACCACGAACACCACCACCAAGGAACCACGGACACCACCACCCAGGAACCACGGACACAACAACCCAGGAACCACGGACACCTCCGCCCAGGAACCACGGACATCACCACCCAGGAAGCACGGACACCACCACCCAGGAACCACGGACACCGCCACCCAGGAACCACGGACACCGCCACCCAGGAACCACGGACACCACCACCCAGGAACCACGGACACTACCACCCAGGAACCACGGACACCACCACCCAGGAACCACGGACACCGCCACCCAGGAACCACGGACACCTCCGCCCAGGAACCACGGACATCACCACCCAGGAAGCACGGACACCACCACCCAGGAACCACGGACACCACCACCCAGGAACCACGGACACCGCCACCCAGGAACCACGGACACCTCCGCCCAGGAACCACGGACATCATCACCCAGGAACCACGGACACCACCACCCAGGAACAATGGACACGGACCACCCAGGAACCACAGACACCACCACCAAGGAACCACGGACACCACCACCAAAGAACCACGGACAACACCACCCAGGAACCACGGACACCACCACCCAGGAACCACGAACACCACCACTAAGGAACCAAGGACACCATCACCCAGGAACCACGGACACCACCACCCAGGAACCACGGACATTACCACCAAAGAATCATGGACACCACCACCCAGGAACCACGGACATTACCACCAAAGAATCACGGACACCACCACCAAAGAACCACGGACAACACCACCAAGGAACTACGGACACCACCACCCAGGAACCACGGACACCACCACCCAAGAATCACGGACACCACCACCCAGGAACCACGGACACCACTACCCAGGAGCCACAGACACCACCACCCAGCAACCACGGACACCACCACCCAGCAACCACGGACACCACCACCCAGCAACCACGGACACCACCACCAAAGAACCACCGACACCACCACCCAAAAACCACCGACACCACCACCAAGGAACTATGGACACCACCACCCAGGAACCACGGACACCACCACCCAGGAACCACGTACACCACCACCCAGGAACCACGGACACTACCACCAAAAAACCACGGCCACCACCACCCAGGAACCACGGACACCACCACCCAGGAACCACAGACACTACACCCAGGAACCACGGACACCACCACCCAGGAACCACGGACACCACCACCCAGGAACCACGGACACCATCACTCAGGAACCACCACCTGGGGGTTGATATCACGCCAGACCTGTCCCCTGAAGCTCATATCAAGAGGATAACATCAGCAGCATATTCCAGGTTGGCTAACATAAGAACGGCCTTTAGAAACTTGTGTAAGGAATCTTTCAGAACATTATATACCACATATGTCAGACCAATCCTGGAGTATGCGGCACCAGCATGGAGTCCATATCTAGTCAAGCATAAGACTAAACTGGAAAAGGTTCAAAGGTTTGCCACCAGACTAGTACCTGAGCTGAGAGGTATGAGCTACGAGGAGAGACTACGGGTATTGAACCTCACTTCGTTGGAAGACAAGAGTTAGGGGGGACATGATCACCACATTCAAGATTCTCAAGGGAATCGACAGGGTTGATAAAGACAGGCTATTTAACAAAAGGGGCACGCGCACTAGGGGACACAGGTGGAAACTGAGTGCCCAAATGAGCCACAGAGATATTAGAAAGAACTTTTTTAGTGTCAGTGTGGTTGACAAATGGAATGCATTAGGAAGCAATGTGGCGGAGGCTGACTCCATACACAGTTTCAAGTGTAGATATGATAGAGCCCAATAGGCTCAGGAACCTGTACACCTGTTGATTGACGGTTGAGAGGCGGGACCAAAAAGCCAGAGCTCAACCCCCGCAAGCACAACTAGGTGAGTACCACCCAAGAACCAAGGACACCACCACCCAGAACCACAGACACAACCACCAATGAACCACGGACACCTCCACCCCGGAACCACGGACACCACCCAGGAACCACGGACACCACCACCCAGGAACCACGGACACAACCCAGGAACCACGGACACCACCACCCAGGAACCACGGACACCACCACCCAGGAACCACGGACACAACCACCAATGAACCACGGACACCACCACCATGGAACCACGGACACCACCACCATGGAACCACGGACACCACCACCCAGGAACCACGGACACCACCACCATGGAACCACGGACACCACCACCATGGAACCACGGACACCACCACCCAGGAACCACGGACACCACCACCCAGGAACCACGGACACCACCACCATGGAACCACGGACACCACCACCCAGGAACCACGGACACCACCACCATGGAACCACGGACACCACCACCATGGAACCACGGACACCACCACCCAGGAACCACGGACACCACCACCCAGGAACCACGGACACCACCACCATGGAACCACGGACACCACCACCCAGGAACCACGGACACCACCACCAAGGAACCACGGACAATACCACCAAAGAACCACGGACACCACCACCCAGGAACCACGGACACCACCACCATGGAACCACGGACACCACCACCCAGGAACCACGGACACCACCACCCAGGAACCACGGACACCACCACCATGGAACCACGGACAATACCACCAAAGAACCACGGACCCGACGCCCCGACGCCCGACGCCCCGACGCCCAGACGACCAAACGCCCCGACGCCCGACGCCCCGACGCCCCGACGCCCGACGACCAAACGCCCCGACGCCCGAGCCCAGACGACCAAACGCCCCGACGCCCCGCGCCAAAGGCCCAGCGCCCCGACACCCCCGACGCCCCGACCCCAAAGCCCCGACGCCCAGACGCCCCGACGCCCCGACGCCCCGACGCCCCCGACGCCCCGACCCGACGCCCCGACGCCGACGCGACCCGGGGTCCCCCAAGATCGTGAAAGCTTAATAGATTATCCACGGCGCAAAAGAAAGTAAGTTCCCGGGGTACTTGAATGGGGGGCTATAGGAGGTAGTTAAAAGGGGGGGGAACCAACTAAATTTTTTGTAAGATGAAGGGCTTACCAGGACCTTGTGGGCAAAACACCCCAAGCCCAACAGCCCCACACCAACGCCCCCGACGCCCGACGCCCCGACGACCGACGCCCCGACGCCCCGACGACCAACGCCCGACGCCCCGACGCCCCGACGCCCGACGCCCGACGCCCGAGCCCAGACGACCAAACGCCCCGACGCCCCGCGCCAAAGGCCCAGCGCCCCGACGCCCCGACGCCCGACGCCCCGACGCCCCGACCCCAAAGCCCCGACGCCCAGACGCCCCGACGCCCCGACGCCCCGACGCCCCGACGCCCCGACGCCCCGACGCCCCAACCCAGACAGAACCGACGCCCCGACACCCCGACGCCCCGAGCCCCGACAACCCCGACGCCCCGACGCCCGACGCCCCGACACCCCGACGAACCAACGCCCCGACACCCCGACGCCCCGACGCCCCGACGCCCGACGCCCCGACGCCCCGACACCCCGACGCCCCGACACCCCGACACCCCGACGCCCCGAGCCCCGACAACCCCGACGACCCCCGACGCCCCGAGCCCCGACCCCCGACGCCCCGACCCCAAAGCCCCGACGCCCAGACGCCCCGACGCCCCGACGCCCCGACGCCCCCGACGCCCCGACCCGACGCCCCGACGCCGACGCGACCCGGGGTCCCCCAAGATCTGAAAGCTTAATAGATTATCCACGGCGCAAAAGAAAGTAAGTTCCCGGGGTACTTGAATGGGGGCTATAGGAGGTAAGTTAAAAGGGGGGGGAACCAACTAAATTTTTTGTAAGATGAAGGGCTTACCAGGACCTTGTGGGCAAAACACCCCAAGCCCAACAGCCCCACACCAACGCCCCCGACGCCCGACGCCCCGACGACCGACGCCCCGACGCCCCGACGACCAACGCCCGACGCCCCGACGCCCCGACGCCCGACGCCCGACGCCCGAGCCCAGACGACCAAACGCCCCGACGCCCCGCGCCAAAGGCCCAGCGCCCCGACGCCCCGACGCCCCGACGCCCCGACGCCCCGACCCCAAAGCCCCGACGCCCAGACGCCCCGACGCCCCGACGCCCCGACGCCCCGACGCCCCGACGCCCCGACGCCCCAACCCAGACAGAACCGACGCCCCGACACCCCGACGCCCCGAGCCCCGACAACCCCGACGCCCCGACGCCCCGACGCCCCGACACCCCGACGAACCAACGCCCCGACACCCCGACGCCCCGACGCCCCGACGCCCGACGCCCCACGCCCCGACACCCCGACGCCCCGACACCCCGACACCCCGACGCCCCGAGCCCCGACAACCCCGACGCCCCGACGCCCCGAGCCCCGACACCCCGACGAACCAACGCCCCGACACCCCGACGCCCCGACGCCCCGACGCCCGACGCCCCGACGACCCCGACACCCCGACGCCCCGACGCCCCGACGCCCCGACGCCCCCCGACGCCCCGACGCCCCGACCCCCGACAACCCCGACGCCCCGACGCCCCGACGCCCCCGAGCCCCGACAACCCCGACGAACCCCGACGCCCGACGACCCGACGCCCCGACGCCCGACCCCAGACGCCAGAAGCCCCGACGCCCGAGCCCCGACCCCCGACCCCCCACCCAGGAACCACGGACACCACCACCCAGGAACCACGGACACCACCACCCAGGAACCAGGACAACCACGAACACCACCACCCAGGAACCACGGACACCACCACCCAGGAACCACGGACACCACCACCCAGGAACCACGGACACCACCACCCAGGAACCACGGACACCACCACCCAGGAACCACGGACACCACCACCCAGGAACCACGGACACCACCACCCAGGAACCACGGACACCACCACCCAGGAACCACGAACACCACCACCCAGGAACCACGGACACCACCACCCAGGAACCACGGACACCACCACCCAGGAACCACGGACAGCACCACCCAGGAACCACGGACACCACCACCCAGGAACCATGGACACCACCACCCAGGAACCACGAACACCACCACCCAGGAACCACGGACACCACCACCCAGGAACCACGAACACCACCACCCAGGAACCACGAACACCACCACCCAGGAACCACGGACACCACCACCCAGGAACTACGGACACCACCACCCAGGAACCAAAGACACCACCACCCAGGAACCACGGACACCACCACCCAGGAACCACGGACACCACCACCCAGGAACTACGGACACCACCACCCAGGAACCACGAACACCACCACCCAGGAACCACGGACACAACAACCCAGAAACCACGGACACCACCACCCAGGAACCACGAACACCACCACCCAGGAACCACGGACACCACCACCCAGGAACCACGGACACCACCACCCAGGAACCACGGACAGCACCACCCAGGAACCACGGACACCACCACCCAGGAACCATGGACACCACCACCCAGGAACCACGAACACCACCACCCAGGAACCACGGACACCACCACCCAGGAACCACGGACACCACCACCCAGGAACCATGGACACCACCACCCAGGAACCACGGACACCCCCACCCAGGAACCATGGACACCACCACCCAGGAACCACGGACACCACCACCCAGGAACCACGGACACCGCCACCCAGGAACCAAAGACACCACCACCCAGGAACCACGGACACCACCACCCAGGAACCACGGACACCACCACCCAGGAACCACGGACACCACCACCCAGGAACTACGGACACCACCACCCAGGAACCAAAGACACCACCACCCAGGAACCACGGACACCACCACCCAGGAACCACGGACACCACTACCCAGGAACCACGGACACGACCACCCAGGAACCACGGACACCACCACCCAGGAACCACGGACACGACCACCCAGGAACCACAGACACCACCACCAAGGAACCACGGACACGACCACCAAGGAAACACGGACACCTCCGCCCAGGAACCACGGACATCACCACCCAGGAAGCACGGACACCACCACCCAGGAACCACAGACACCACCACCCAGGAACCACAGACACCACCACCAAGGAACCACGGACACTATACCCAGGAACCACGGACACTACACCCATGGACACCGCCACCCAGGAACCACGGACACCACCACCCAGGAACCACGGACACCGCCATCCAGGAACCACGGACACCGACACCCAGGAACAACGAACACCACCACCCAAGAACCACGGACACCACCACCCAGGAACCACGGACACCACCACCCAAGAACCACGGACACCACCACCCAGGAACCACGGACACCACCACCCAGGAACCATGGACACCACCACCCAGGAACCACAGACACTACCACCAAGGAAACACGGACACCTCCGCCCAGGAACCACGGACATCACCACCCAGGAAGCACGGACACCACCACCCAGGAACCACGGACACCACCACCCAGGAACCACGGACACCACCACCCAGGAACCACGGACACCACCACCCAGGAACCACGGACATCACCACCCAGGAAGCACGGACACCACCACCCAGGAACCACAGACACCACCACCCAAGAACCACGGACACCACCACCCAGGAACCACGAACACCACCATCCAAGAACCACGGACACCACCACCCAGGAACCACGAACACCACCACCCAGGAACCACGGACACCACCACCCAGGAACCACGGACACCACCACCCAGGAACCACGGACACCACCACCTAGGAACCATGGACACCACCACCCAAGAACCACGGACACCACCACCCAGGAACCACGGACACCACCACCCAGGAACCACGGACACCACCACCCCCAGGAACCACCAGGAACCACGGACACCACCACCCAGGAACCACGGACACCACCACAGGAACCACACACCACCACCCAGGAACCACGGACACCGCCACCCAGGAACCAAAGACACCACCACCCAGGAACCACGGACACCACCACCCAGGAACCACGGACACCACCACCCAGGAACCACGGACACCACCACCCAGGAACCACGGACACCACCACCCAGGAACCACGGACACCACCACCCCAGGAACCACGGACACCACACCCAGGACACACACCACCCAGGAACCACGGACACCACCACAGGAACCACGGACACCACCACAGGAACCACGGACACCACACCAGGAACCACGGACACGACCACCCAGGAACCACGGACACCAGGAACCACGGACACCACCACCCAGGAACCACGGACACCACCACCCAGGAACCACAGACACCACCACCCAGGAACCACGGACACCACCACCCAGGAACCACGGACACCACCACCCAGGAACCACGGACACCACCACCCAGGAACCACGGACACCACCACCCAGGAACCACGGACACCACCACCCAGGAACCACGGACACCACCACCCAGGAACCACGGACACCACCACCCAGGAACCACGGACACCACCACCCAGGAACCACGGACACCACCACCCAGGAACCACGGACACCGCCATCCAGGAACCACGGACACCGACACCCAGGAACAACGAACACCACCACCCAAGAACCACGGACACCACCACCAGGAACCACGGACACCAACCCACCACGGACACCACCACCCAGGAACCACGGACACCACCACCCAGGAACCATGGACACCACCACCCAGGAACCACGGAAACACCACCACCCAGGAACCACGGACATCACCACCAGGAAGCACGGACACCACCACAGGAACCACGGATACCACCACCCAGGAACCACGGACACCACCACCCCAAGGACAACCACCCAGGAACCACAGACACCACACCCAAGAACCACGGACACCACCACCCAGGAACCACGAACACCACCATCCAAGAACCACGGACACCACCACCCAGGAACCACGAACACCACCACCCAAGAACCACGGACACCACCACCCAGGAACCACGGACACCACCACCCAGGAACCACGGACACCACCACCTAGGAACCATGGACACCACCACCCAAGAACCACGGACATCACCACCCAGGAACCACGGACACCGCCACCCAGGAACCACGGACACCGCCACCCAGGAACCACGGACACCACCACCCAGGAACCACGGACATCACCACCCAGGAACCACGGACACCGCCACTCAGGAACCACGGACACCACCACCCAGGAACCACGGACACCACCACCCAGGAACCACGGACACCACCACCCAGGAACCACGGACACTACCACCCAGGAACCACGGACACCACCACCCAGGAACCATGGACACCACCACCCAAGAACCACGGACATCACCACCCAGGAACAACGGACACCGCCATCCAGGAACCACGGACACCGCCACCCAGGAACCACGGACACCACCACCCACGAACCACGGACACTACCACCAAGGAACCACGGACACCACCACCCAGGAACCACGGACACCACCACCCAGGAACCACGGACACCTCCGCCCAGGAACCACGGACATCACCACCCAGGAACCACGGACACCACCACCCAGGAACAATGGACACGGACCACCCAGGAACCATGGACACCACCACCAAAGAACCACGGACAACACCACCCAGGAACCACGGACACCACCACCCAGGAACCACGGACACCACCACCCAGGAACCACGGAGACCACCACCCAGGAACCACGGACACCACCACTCAGGAACCACGGAGACCACCACCCAGGAACCACGGACACCACCACTAAGGAACCAAGGACACCATCACCCAGGAACCACGGACACCACCACCCAGGAACCACGGACACCACCACCCAAGAATCACGGACACCACCACCCAGGAACCACGGACACCACCACCAAAGAACCACGGACACCACCACCCAGGAACCACGGACACCACCACCCAGGAACCACGGACACCACCACCTAGGAACCATGGACACCACCACCCAAGAACCACGGACATCACCACCCAGGAACCACGGACACCGCCACCCAGGAACCACGGACACCGCCACCCAGGAACCACGGACACCACCACCCAGGAACCACGGACATCACCACCCAGGAACCACGGACACCGCCACTCAGGAACCACGGACATCACCACCCAGGAACCACGGACACCACCACCCAGGAACCACGGACACCACCACCCAGGAACCACGGACACTACCACCCAGGAACCACGGACACCACCACCCAGGAACCATGGACACCACCACCCAAGAACCACGGACATCACCACCCAGGAACAACGGACACCGCCATCCAGGAACCACGGACACCGCCACCCAGGAACCACGGACACCACCACCCACGAACCACGGACACTACCACCAAGGAACCACGGACACCACCACCCAGGAACCACGGACACCACCACCCAGGAACCACGGACACCACCACCCAGGAACAATGGACACGGACCACCCAGGAACCATGGACACCACCACCAAAGAACCACGGACAACACCACCCAGGAACCACGGACACCACCACCCAGGAACCACGGACACCACCACCCAGGAACCACGGAGACCACCACCCAGGAACCACGGACACCACCACTCAGGAACCACGGAGACCACCACCCAGGAACCACGGACACCACCACTAAGGAACCAAGGACACCATCACCCAGGAACCACGGACACCACCAC